CATTTTCTGAACTATATTATTTTTAAAATATTTGTTTTATTTATTTATTGATTTATTAATATCGATTTTAACTATATTGTTAATATTTTACCTATTAAAAATATATAATAAATTAATATTTTGAATTATAAATTATATATTAACATATAGGAATTAAGTAGATTTTATCTATATAGGTATAATGCATCTTCTCACTTATAAAGTAACAAAGTGTTATTCCTCTCTTTCTCTCCCTCCCTCCCTCCTTCTTTCTTTACTCTCTTATGTAATTCTCTTAAATGACGTCATGAAGTTGCAATGAACCATATAACAAACAACTCTATCTCGGTACGAGCAGTCGTGTGCGAGAATTTCAAGCGAGCAGATCGCTTTGACTTGATAAAACAATCACGTTCAACATATTGCATTGGATTATAACCTGAGGGTACCCCATACAACTGCAAACAGTGATATTGACACAAACTTTCACGACACTGGCGGTCAACTTTATCTCGAACAAAAGGAGTAATCGAGTTCCGATTAAACGTTTATCATGGAGTACTGGACAATAGTCTTATCAATAGTAGCCACCATACTTGCTATTTATTATTATTCGTCCTGCAAAGATTCGAACGTATTCCGGCAACATGGAATTCCACATGTAAAAGAATATTTCTTAGAAAGGATATGGAAAATTTTCGTGCGACCAAAAAGCTTCGCCGACGTGATTACAGAAATATACAATATACATTCCGATGCTAAGTATATTGGTTCTTTCGATTTCACGAAATTGGTTGTAATGATACGTGATCTTGAATTGATTAAATCTGTTACTATCAAACATTTCGACGCGTTTCCGGATCATCTTTTCTTTGGCAACGAAACTCAAGATCCACTTTTTGGAACAAATTTACTTTCTCTTCGCGGTGATAAATGGCGTGACATTAGAGCGCTTCTGAGTCCTGCTTTTACAGCTAGTAAAATGAAAACAATGTTTCAATTAATATCTGAGTGCGCTGTGAACTTTTCGGAGTACTTATTGAATGTACCGTCAGACAAACGCGTTATGGAAATGAAAGATATATTCACAAAATACGCTAACGACGTAATCGCCTCATGCGCCTTTGGTATTGACGTAGACTCAATGAGAAATCCGGAAAATGATTTTTACATCTTCGGCAAAAAAGCAACAAATTTTGACACGATTGCTCTTATAAAAATTTTGATGTATCAACATATGCCATCACTTATACGTCTGTTAAATATTAAGTTAATAGATGATCGTACTAATGCATTCTTTGTAAATTTGGTAGCTGATACTATAAGAATCAGAGAAGAGAAAGGTATCACTCGCCCAGACATGATCCAATTATTGATGGATAGCAGAGGTAAAAGAGAACCCGGGAGAGAATTGACCATTTTGAATATGACATCACAGGCATTTATTTTTTTTGTTGCTGGTTTCGAAACCAGCTCGACACTGATGAGTTTCGCGGCACACGAAATTGCAGTCAATCCAGATATTCAAGAGAAGCTGCAAAATGAGATCGACAAAATTTTGGAAAATACAAATGGTCAACCATCTTACGAGGCGATCAACGGAATGAAATATCTAAATGCTGTTATTAATGAGGCTCTCAGAAAGTATCCGGTACAACTACTAACGGACAGATTGTGCGTGAAAGATTTTGAGTTACCTCCTACACTACCAAACGCAAAACCATATCTTGTAAAGGAAGGAACATCACTTTTTATCCCAATTTATGCGCTTCAACACGATCCTAAATACTTTCCAGAACCTGATAAATTCAAACCTGAGAGATTCTTCGATGAAAAGGATCAGTGTAATCTTAACGCTTATTATCCATTTGGATTAGGTCCGAGAATGTGCATCGGCAATAGATTCGCGTTACTCGAAACAAGGACTATGTTATTTCATCTTCTGGCTCGTTGTCAGTTAAAGCCGTGTGAGAAAACTTCGATACCTGTAAAATTACAGAAAGGTGGATTTACAATGCGGATTGAAGGTGGTTTCTGGTTGAGTATTGTACCTAGAGAAAACAGGCATCCTACGGTTATGGAAGCAAACCAATCGTGTCAGTTTCAGATTCCAAAGTAATCCAAATATAACACTGTCGAACAGTAGGAGTATTCAAAACTCTAAAAAAAATAGATGTCTACAAATATATAATATATATGATGTCCTTGGAAATTCGTAAATAAAAGTATCACATATTAGAAATATGAAGGTTTCTAATTACAGATTACGATAAATAGCTGCTCGTCCATTATTAACATTAGCGATGCATGACTCATGAACAGGCAGTCGTTTAATAGTAATCTATAATTGGCTAGTTTTAAACTTCATATCTCAAAAATTACTGCTCGGAACAAAAAATGACAAATACTCTTTTGATTTTGTTGTTGTTGTAGTATTTTGATTCGCAAATTTCGAAATATACAAAAGTTCATAAACTTACTTTACGTTATATGTACTGCAATATATAGACGTTACGTTATATTATTATAAAATATATAATATTATATAGTTTTGTATTATATAATATTATAGTTTTGTACGTCGAGTTAGTTGGACGGTTATAAAAGTTTTATATTTGGAACGACTTATATTTGTAATGTGTTAACGAAATAACGATTTTGATTGTCACCGAATTTTAATGAATGACTCTTTTAACGACATGGATTATTTGAGGTACCACAGGGATACATCACAAACGATCTTCCAATCGCTTGATGAGCTAAATTGTTCTCTCGGTGAAATACTCAACGTTTTAGAACATAACAATCCATCATAGTAATTTTCTTGTTTTTTCTGCGTTAACTAAAGATGTTTTACTGCGTTAATTAATATTTATATGTTCATCTGAGGATGGCTCGAATATGCAGCCGAAACGTTATGATTTGACTTATGTTTGCGTGCGCTTTTAAAGTGTGAATTTATTGATATTTTATTTTAATTTATAATATATTAAATGTTTTATTAGTTCACACAATTAATATTGACTCTTAATTGCCTTTTTATTTCATTGACAATTTTTAATATTATATAAGTATGTATAAATAATAATAAAAAATATTAGAAGATAGAAATTTACAAAATATTTTACGACAATTTTGCGATTTTATTTCAATTACTGATGCGAGAATGATTTCGATCGTAGTTGTATCCTTTATTTGCTCCATTGTCTAAAATTATAACTTATAGTCACATAATTTAAATCATCACGACAAGACAATAGATAATCTAATGCAATTCTGTATAATTCTGTATTAAATTCATAGACATAATAAGAACAAATTGTAGATAATAAGAACTGCGTATTCCTGTAAAGTTATCGCTGTCGATTCAGAAGAAGTGAGAGGTAATTTGAATCATATCTCTTTCTTTTTCGAAAATATAGAAATTGAAGAAAGATACTAATAATATGTTTAATTTTTTCTAATGGAGCACAGATACCAAGATAAGGGATGACGTGTGTGTGTGTGTGTGTGTGTGTGTGTGTGTGTGTGTGTGTGTGTGCGCGCGCGCGCGCGCGCGTGTGTGCATGCGTGCGTGGGCGCGTGCGTATATGTGTGTGTGTAAAAGGAATATCTATACATCTATGACTAAATTGTTACTAATCGATGTAAATCATGTTACATATCAATAGTAAAGTATATTAAATATATTTGACGTAGTATATACCTGAAAATAATAAATGAACGATAATCTGCAGAATTCCAGTATTCATTTTAATTATAAAAATTTATCACGTTAATAACAACGGGAGCGTCTATGAATGTACGTCGCAACAGACTCGTTTACTTGCGTAAGCGATGACGAATCGGATGTTATATTAGAAAGATTGCGTCAGTGCAATAGCAGTCAGCCGTCAACTTTTGACGTGTAAAGTTGTGCCTTGGTACCGTCTTTGTTATTAACAGTACAATCAAAAAATATTTAAGAAATAATCTGGTTACGAAAAAATACAAAAGTTTATTTTAATTTCTACAAAATTATATGGTGTATACTAGTTCAGCGATATATACGTACTTATATATACATATATCAATATGGTATATATAATCGCTTTGTCGGTGATAGCAGGTGCTTTAGGCCTTTATTATTTTCTCTTCAAGGATTTAAATTATTTCAAGAAATATGGAATACCGCATGTGAAGCCTCTTCCCATAGTGGGAAATATGGGACCAACATTTGTGCGTCTTCAGTCATTAGCCGGATTGGTTAAAGATATTTATAATATACATCCTGAAGCCAAATACGTTGGTATGTTTGATATGACCACTCCAATTGTGGTAATTCGTGATCCTGAACTTATTAAATCCATCGCGTTAAAACACTTTGATATGTTCATGGATCATCGTAGTTTTATAAACGAAGATCAAGATCCTCTATTCGGCAGAAACCTTTTTGCTCTTCGCGGAGAAAAATGGCGACAAGTACGATCTTTATTGAGTCCAGCTTTTACATCCAGCAAAATGAAAAATATGTTTAAGCTAATGTCGGACTGTGGTGTCGATTTCAGTAATTATTTGGCGCAATTGCCACCGGAGCAAAGAATACTGCAGATGAAAGACGTCTTTACGAGATATACTAACGATGTTATTGCTACTTGTGCTTTTGGTGTTAGTGTTGATTCCATGAAAAATCCAGAAAACAAATTCTATTTGTACGGCAAAGAAGCAACTGTTTTTAGCACTTTTGCTTTCATAAAGTTTTACATCTTTAGAACCTTGCCTTTGTTGGCACGATTGATCAATTTGAAAGTCATTCGTCAACAAATAGCAGATTTTTTCCGAGACCTTATAGAAACTACAATAAAAACCAGAGATAAGAATGGTATCGTCCGTCCTGATATGTTGCAATTGATGATGGAAACCCGGGGTAAAGAGGGCAAAGCAGAATTGACTACCGAAGATATGGTAGCACAGGCATTTGTATTTTTCTTTGCTGGCTTTGATAGTACTTCAACGTTAATGAGTTTTGCCGCTCATGAACTCGTAATAAACCAAGATATACAAAAAAAGCTTCAAGAGGAAATCGACCAGGTTTTGGCAGAAACGAATGGACAAGCATCTTACGAAGCAATTAATGGCATGGAATATTTAGATGCTGTGATCACCGAAGCTCTCAGAATGTATCCTGTTGCTGCTGCAATGGACAGAATATGCGCAAAAGATTTTGAACTACCGCCAGCATTACCAGGATTGAAACCATTTATTGTAAAGAAAGGACAAGGTATATGGATACCGGCTTATGGACTCCATCATGATCCTAAATATTTTAAAGAACCAGAGAAGTTTGATCCTGAGCGGTTTCTTGGTGAACAGAAGAAGGACAATCTCAACTGCGGAGCCTACCTTCCTTTTGGTCTTGGTCCCAGGATGTGCATAGGTAACAGATTTGCGTTGCTGGAGACAAAGGTTATACTTTTTCATCTATTGGCTCGTTGTGATTTGAAAATCTGTGACAAAACGCCAATACCAATCAAAATCGCTAAGGACAGCTTTAATATGAAACCTGAAGGTGGTTTCTGGTTGAAAGTGTTACCAAGAAAAGATACGCATCACACTCTTGCAACTAATCTTGCAAATGGAACACGCTAAATGTAAGAAAATTTTAATAAATTTTTGTAACTTCTTGAAACATTTTAAAATAAAGAAGATATTTTTTGACATAGAAAAACAATTCCTGTTATTTTTGTAATTAAAAATAATGTCTAGATAATATTAAATGATTTAAAGAAAATTAATTCTTGGTTTGTAAAATTCTTCAAGTTTATAAAAATGTATGATACTTATAGAACCTCATAATTAAAACATTTAATATTTAAGCATATTTATGTATAATACAATGAAATAGTGGTTCTCTTAAATAAAATGCACGTACAAAAATGGTAGACCATGTAAAATATAAGTTATATTATAATGTATAAAAATATTTTTCAAATTTCAGATAAAATGGAAACAATAGAAACTCAAATAAACATGATACAGGACGTTTCTTCTATATAGCAAGAAGACGATAATGTTGCTGCGAGTTCAAGAAATCACAATATTAAACGTATTAGTCATATTATCTTATGTAAGTTTCTTAAAAAATGACAGAAGAAAAGAGCATAAAAAAGTTAATGGATTGAATACTATTTCTTATTTTTTGCGATCTTATTATCAATTTATAATAATTTTTTTGTAAATATTAGATAACTGTACAATTATTGTTCTTATAATGATCGTTCGTACATTTTCATTAGATTTCTTTAAATATGTAAAAAAATATTTTTATATAAATTTTTATATAAAACTATTTTTTTACAAATTTAAAGAAATATATTATAAAAACAAGAATGTTATAAAAAATGATTTACATAAGCGATTATATAACTAAGATAAAGACCAATTATATGTATATATATATAATAACATAAAATATTAGAATGAAAATAGCTATAAGAATTAGTCAGGAATATTTTTTTGACTACTTTTTTGTGTATCTATATGTATAATATAAAATATATGTCTTTAAGTGTTATATCTATATTATTTAACTCCATTGAATTAATATTTCAAAATAATTTGACACTCGTTACAATTACTATCAAACTAATCTCTCCACATGACACATGTACGAAAAAGATCATCTATTATATTTAATGCAGTAACAGTTAACTAATTATAATTCAATATGTGTGATGTTATATATTAATTCAATTATTAGTAAAAACTTCAGTAATACTGTATTAATATTTAAATAATAGTATTTTTATTTTTTTTGATGTTCACTTTAATCGTGTAAACTATTATTATACATATAATGCAATTGAATATGTAACTGTTTTATCAGTAATGGCAGGTATTTTTATGTTATTAAGAACTATAGTTCTACTTCACTAATCATTATATTTTCATTAATTATTTAAAAATTTGCGAAATGTTAAAGGAGTTTTTGTATTTAATTTAATCCAGTCATCAACTAAAACTCTCAGACTGTATTCAGGTGGTGTACTATTTGATAAATTATGTATAAAAGATTTCGTATTACCACTGATACTACCTAGTATTATATATATAAAACCTTTTATTATAAAGAAAAATAAGATACAATATATAGATACCGATTTATGGACTTTATATGATCCTAAATATTTTGAAAAACCAGAAAAATTTGATTCCGAGCGGTTTCTTGGTGAGTAGAAAAAAAAAAAACCGGTGTCAACTGTGAAGCCTACCTTCCTTTTAGACTAAATCCTAGAAAATATACCTAGAGAATATGCTGGAGACGAAGATTGTGCTTTTTCACTTGTTAGTACATTACGAATTGAAACCTTGTGAAAAGATGTCGATTCCGATAAAGATAGCTAAAAATGCTTTTATTTTGAAATCCAAAGATGGTTGAATGTGACGTTCAGGAAAAATATACATCATTCTATCGCAATTAATGTTGTGAATGGAACGTGCAAGCTATAAGGAAATTTAGTTAAGTTCATTATACTATTAGAATTTATAATTGTGAAGTTAGTTAATATGAATACTTAATGCGTAATTTTATGAAATTAAATTTAATGTTCAAATGTTAATAATTTGTCACTGCAACAAAATGAAAAATCTATTACAAAATATACAAGGATAAAAATAGCATTATATTATTTTAAATATTATGTAATGTTCAGGTAAAACAAAAAATAATGAAATTAAAATAATAATGATGCAAGATTTGTTTTTCTTAACTTTTCGATAAGAAGATATTTATACTGATGCAAAATAAAGTTGCTGAATCATTAATACTTGTATTCTGATACTGTAATACTAAACGACGTGATTATCGCAAGAAATATAGAAAATATAAAACATAAAAGGATAAGAATGATATGTTATACATTATAGGTATATAATGTGTGTGTGCGCGCGCGTGTGTGTGACGTAGTTACATTTGATATTAGTTTTATTATTTATTGTAACAGTTGCAATTAAATGCATAAATTATAATTTTAATAAATATTAGTTTATCTAATTATTATTCTGATGGTCTCTTATCCTGATTTCTTTTCGTGCGTTGTTCTTTGTTTCAAAAGATTATTTCTGTATATTCGTAAAATATTCTTTGAACAATAAAAACAGCATTATCTCTTACTAAAAAAAAATAATTTAAAAAATCGATATGAAAAGGATTAAAGATCAAGTGTTATATCTTGTGTGTCATGATCATTAATTAATTTGTAATTTATGACGTAAATCTTCTTCCTATACATATAATCAATTGTGCAATTTGCTATTTTAATTACTTGAATTTTTTTTTATCTATTATCCAATTTTTTCAAAAGTATTTTCATAATTCACTATATTTTTACAGCATATTATAAAAATATTATATATATAAATATGTGATGTTATCAATAATTATCGTTTACGGAAAACATTGACAAATCACAAAAATGTATGTACATTATACATTAGTATATATATATTATCAAATATTTTACTTATAATACTAGCTCAACTAAAACTATGTATTTAAAAATTGTATTAAGTTTTTTATTCTCGTTCATGAATGCCATGTCTTACTTTTAATATTAATTTAAACTCGCTTCTTGCCCCATTTAAATATTCTATATCTTAAAAACAGGTTATTGAATTATAGTAGAGAAATACTCGATGATATATTATCTCTACAAAAATATCACTTATTATTATACAAAACAATTACCGACAAAGGAAAGATAAATCTAAATTGTATTTAACTATTTCAATATATTTTGTAATATTGGGGCTATCTTACCAATATGAATAAAAACTGTATATGTGAAATCTCTTAGAACACTGTCATACTTAATAGATTTCCCCCACACGATACTATGTACGTCGTATATAAGAGAAATATTATTCGTGTGGGTAGCAATTGACAGTCGGTCTCCGGCGAGTAACGTCAAGCATTTTAATACATATACGTATTCAAGTAACAGATTAGTTTAGTAGACTGCTCATTACGTTTCTTCAAGTTCAATTGTATGTGTATGTGTGTGTGTAAACTGTGTAAACACAATTAATCATGATATACGTAATCGTTTTGTTAATAGCTGGTATTTTAAGTCTTTATTATCTTCTCTTCAAGGATTTAAATTATTTCAAAAAACATGGAATACCACATGTGAAGCCTCTTCCTATAGTGGGAAGTATGGCACCAACTTACTTTCGTCGTCAATCAATTTCTGACTTTATCAAATCAATATACGATTTATATCCTGACGCCAAGTATATCGGCTTGTATGATATAAAAAATCCAATTATAATGCTTCGCGATCCTGAGCTTATTAAATCCGTGACACTGAAATATTTTGACATGTTCATGGACCATATTAATTTAGTAAATGAAAATCAAGATCCATTTTTTGGAAAAAATCTCTCCGCACTTTGCGGAGACAGATGGCGTGAGATACGATCTATATTAAGTCCGGCTTTCACGTCCAGTAAAATGAAAAGTATGTATAAACTGATGTTAGATTGCGGTGTTGACTTTGGCAGTTATTTGGCGCAATTACCACCAGAAGAAAGGATAATGGAAATAAAAGATGTTTTCACAAGATATACAAACGATGTAATAGCTACTTGTGCTTTTGGCGTGAGTGTAGATTCTATGAGAAATCGGAAAAACGATTTCTATGTATATGGCACGGAGGCAACCAATTTCACAGGAAGTTTCATTTTTTTAAAGTTCTACATACTTAGAGCTTTACCCTGGCTTGCACGAATACTTAAACTAACATTCATTTCTGAAAAGGTAGCGAATTTTTTTCGAGATCTTGTAAAAACCACTATAAAAACTAGAGATGAAAATGGTATCGTTCGTCCAGACATGTTACAATTGATGATGGAGAGCAGAAGTAAAGATGGCAAAACAGATCAATTAACTATCGATGATATGGTAGCACAAGCGTTTATTTTCTTCTTTGGAGGTTTCGAAAGTACTTCAACGTTGATGTGTTTTGCTGCTCACGAAATTGCGATAAATCAGGACATACAGAAAAGACTTCAAAATGAAATTGACCAAGTCTTGGAAGATACGAATGGGCAACCAACTTATGAAGCAGTTAATAGCATGGAATATCTGGATGCTATAATTAATGAGGCTTTGAGGATGTACCCGGTTGCTGTGATGTTGGATAGATTATGCTTGAGAGACTTCGAACTACCACCGCCATTACCAGGAATAAAACCTTTTACTATAAAGAAAGGACACGCCATATGGATACCGGTTTATGGACTTCATCATGATCCTAAATATTTCAAAGAACCGGAGAAGTTTGATCCTGAGCGGTTTCTTGGTGAACGGAAAAAGGACAATCTCAACTGCGGAGCCTTCCTTCCTTTTGGCCTTGGTCCCAGAATGTGCATAGGTAACAGATTCGCATTGCTAGAGACGAAGGTTCTATTCTTTCAATTGCTAGCACGTTGTGATTTAAAACCTTGCGAGAAGACGTCGATACCAATTAAGATTAGTAAAGATAGCTTTCTTATGAAAGCTGAAGGTGGTTTCTGGTTGAGCGTAATGCCGAGGAAAGACATACATCATTCTATTACATAATAATATCAATGGGACATGCTAAATGTAAAGGAAAGAAATTAATTTGTTTAATTAAATCTCTTTAAAATATGTAAATAATTAAACTATCTTCTTATTTTTGGTTAGTAATATAATACTGATTAAACAGAAAAATTTTTGAAACAAAATATTGTACAAGTGTAATTAAGAAGAAAAACTATATCGTTATACATACATAAAAATTGAAAACTGATATTGCGTATATATATATATATATATATATATTTTAAAAAGCAAGCAACATTAATTAATGTTATCATATCGTGTTGATTAATTTTAAAAACTACTATACACAGTAGTTCACTAATTTATAGCTGTATGTAGTAAAGTATATATACTTAAATAATATGTCTGCTGTTTAGTTGGATTAAATGCGTGTCTAAGTTGCAAAAAAATTTTTACAAGTTTTTATATATAATCTATTATGTGTATAATATGTTATATTACAGTAGAAAAAAAAACAAAACTAGTATCTCTAGTATATTTACTTACATGAGATAAATTTTATTAAATTCTTTAATATACCATTTATAATATATTAATTTTATAATACATATATAGTTTTATTTAAAATATATTATAGCTGATAATAAAAAGCAAAAATAAAAGAGATCAAAAAATTTGCTATCAAAGATATAAAGTTACAAACATTTATTTTTTCCTTAATTGTTTTTTATAATAAAAGTAACTCGACACTGATAAGTTTCACAAAACTATCATCAACCACGATAAGCCAGATAAGTTTCAAAACAAAATCAATAACACATTGAAAGATTCAAACAGGAAACATTGTTACGGGATAATTAACGGAATGAAAGTTCTTTGAATATAATTCTGTAATCAACAAAACTTAAAATGAATAAGTAGTATTGAATACAGCATAAGTGTATGTAAAGCTTTTCAAATTGTAATCCGAAATCTTTTGAAATGAAATTTTATTATAAAAAAGAACAAACACATCTTAAATTTATATGACTTTAAAATGACTCCAAGTACTTTAAAGAATCGCAAAATTCAATTTTAAACGAGTGCATTCTGAACGATTTCACAGTAAACAAAGATAAGATAATTTTAATTTTGATATTTATCTATTTTTCGATTTAGGATAAATGATATGTACAACTGATAGATTTAGGTTCTTTGAAATAAAAATGTCAATCCAATGTCACTTAAATTCTTTAAAATAAGATAAAAACTGAAAATGGTTTCTGAATAATGTGATACAAATAAAGCACCTTTATAATTATTACTTCAGCAACAGATATCTTAGCAGTAAACAAGTTTTTAGTTTAATTGATTCTAATTATAAGTCAAATTATAAGAAACACAATCAATAAGAAAATGCCTTTAACGGTCGAGTTGGATCTTAAGTGCTAATTATAATTCCATGTGAATTTATATATTACGTATGTAGTCTTTTAAACCGCGCGCCGAACAATTTTTCGGTCTTGAAACGCAACTCTACGAAATTACCGGAATAATATCACGAGTTAAATTATCTATCAATTTAACAATTTGTTCATAGCATCTTGGATTTTAATAATGTTGAACGACATATTAAAATATATGAATGAAAATCTGTAAATAATTAAATTATATTGCGAAAAATATTACCTCGGCCGGAAGTCGAACCCGGATCTCTTACATTTCATGCGAAAATTATAAGATATAATTATCGTACATTGTATATAATATTTTAAGAAATATTTTCTGTATATATAAATTTTGTATGATTAATATAACGTGGAATTAAAACATTTCTTAATTGTTAAATATGTTGTTCATACGTTTTATTTTTATATCTAAAATTTATTTAATAAAAGATGATAATTTTAATAAAAATTGAATTACATATATTTTAATTATTTCATTTGTATTTATAAATAATTAATATTGTGTAAAAATGTTAATATTGTCAACTGCAATTCATACATACATGAACAAAGAAATAAGAATATTACAAATATTAAGAGAAAAAGGAAATGAGAGACGCAAAAATAAGTAATTTGTTAAAAGAATACAGTTATAGATTTTTTGACGTATACAGACACATATTCTATGAAACAGTTCAAATTTAGTACTGTAACAAATACCAATTATCGGGATTCTGCGTGTCATGTCTGCAACAGAATCTTGCATTGACCAAAGAGGATCTGCATTGGCTGCACGTTCTCTCACGCAGTTGCATGACGGATATAACAGTCGTATAATGTATTCGACTACGTGATTGGGCGTTTCCAGAGACACGATACGAGCTTGTGAATGCCGCTTTAATGAGCGGTCGGGAAAGCGTACGTTCCCTCGGCGACCATTGCTAAAGGAATCGCGACTCGTGGTCTTCGACGGACAAACCAGTTTCTATCAAATAAGATGCTTGCGTGATGCGCCGTTGCTATCAAACCAACTGGACACTTTATTGCATTTGATCTACTTGATCATTAGACGCAGTTATCCTTTGTTGCTACGAGAAATCCTTGTAATTTAGATAATTAGTGGCCGACTGAGCCACTTAATTATCATTAGTCAAGTTCTACGTCTAATACATTCTAATGAGCAAGATAACAGCTAAAAAGGAGCAAGACATTTTTACATTTATATCTCGCGACCTAATCAGAAAACAACAAAATAGTAAAGAAAATAATAAAAAAAACAATATTTTTAAATATTTATTTAATAAGATGTCTTTGTCTTTTTCATAAAAAAGAATTTCGTAAGTTAGATAAAATTTGATATGTAAATCAAATTTGATATACATAAGTAGTTTATAACGCAATTATTTTGATAAAAATAGTTATTATCAGCTTTCCGAGATATGTGTTCGAAGAAGTATTCCCTGATTCGATAAAAGTACCCCTTCTAATCTAATTCACTTACTACCGTTGGAAAGGGACCGCATGTTGGAGAAGGGCCAAGAATTGATGAAGTGGAGATCATAAGGGTGGCTCGAAACGATGTATTGTCTCGCTAGGAAGAAATTGAACAAGGTAAGTGGCTAAAACACTCTTACAATTATTTTTGGAGTTCCTCGCACTATACTATTCACTTGTAACTGCAAAATATGCATTCTGTCAAATATTAAAACTAAAAAGTGAAATGATTGAATGATCGATTCATCACTGAATTAATATAGAAATTTATCTCTAAAATTTTATTGTTAAATTTTATGTTTTAATATACAATATTTTATTTACTCCTATTAAAAAAAATACTAGTTCTATGATTTTCTTTTAAGTATTTAATATATGAGCTATATTCAAATATCTTTTTTACAATCTCACTTTCACTAAAATTTCTACGTTGTTAGAACTGTTATGACTCAACGTGTCACGCACATAATTTGTCATTTATAGTTAATAAGGATTAGCAACGTTACCTCATAAAAATAACTCGTTACCGTTATTCATTATTGATTTACAAAAGTAACTCGTTATCGTTATCGTTACTCAAAATATAACGAATCGTTACTTTTTTTTGACACTAATAATAGAATATTATGTGCAGATTTTTTTGATAAGTGTAAAAATGATATCAAAATTCTATTTCTTAGTAGAGGAATAAAGCTAAAGAAATGTATATATATATATATATATATATGTATACATATTATGTATACATACATATGCATATAAATCTCTACGATATATTTAATTTCTTAAAATACAAAAATTACAAAAAATAGAGTAGGTATATCGTATAATATAATTTTATCTTTGTCGTTCATCGAATATTAAATCGAATATAAAATGATACATCATGCGCATAATGCGTGAAACGGAACGCAACCTATATGGTACATATGAAATAGCAAGATGAATCATTTAATATAAAGAAAACACATACATGATTGTTTAAAAAAATATGTAGCTTGCAAGTATATTGCAAATTACCGGCGGAGGATAAATTATAATAACAATTATTATAATACAATAATTTTGTAAATTTAAAAGTAAGATAATATATTTATAAATAATATATATTTATATTATGTAATTTTTATATGAGAATTTATAATTTAGAAAATTACTTATTAGTTATCCATTACTATATAGACTCCAGCACAGGGTGCGTATCTTTTCTACGCTGAATATTTAACCAGAATCCATTTTCTGGCATCATTACCAAAGTTTTGCCGAATTTTATTGGAGATGTAGTTTTCGTGCAAGGTTTTAGCTCACATTGAGCTAATAAATGAAACAGTAAGATTTTGACTTCCAGCAGAGCAAATCTGTTAGCTATGCACATTCTTGGTCCTAATCCGAATGGCATATAATATAAAGAATTATGCATCTTGTTGTTTAAAAATCTTTCTGGATCAAATGTTTCCGGATTAGCATAATACTCTTTATCACGATGAATTGCAAAAATCGGAATCCAAAAAGTCATACCCTTCTTCATGATAAAAGGTTTCTCGTTCGGCAATGCGGGTGGTAATTCATAAGTTTTCTCACATATTCTTTCTAAGAAAGTGACTGGTGGATATAATCTGAGAGTCTCATTTATCACCGCATCTAAATATTCGAGCCGATTAATGGCTTCATAAGATACTTTTCCGTTTGATTCCTCTAAAACCTTGTCGATCTCTTGTTGTAATTTGTTTTGAACTTCTGGATTAGCTGCAATTTCATGAGCTGCGAAGGACATCGCGGTTGAACTTGTGTCAAAGCCACCAAAGAAAAAGACGAACGCTTGCGCAGTCATGTCGTCGATGTCTAGTTCTCTATGACTTTCTTTACCTCTAATATCCATCATTAATTGTAACATATCCGGACGTGTAATGTGTTCCGCATCACGAGTGGCGATTGCAGTCTTTATAATATCCTTGAAAAAGTTTAATACATAATCGTTTATAAGCTTTATATTGAGAATTCGTCCGAGACTTGGAAAAGTTCTAAGAAAAATAAATTTCAGACTACGACTCCCTAAAAAGTTAGTCGCTTCCTTGCCGTAAACATAAAACTTGTTCGTTGGATCTTTCATAGTGTTGACCTTGATTCCGAAAGCACACGTAGCGATGACATCATTCGTATATTTAGAGAAAGCCTCTTTTATGTTCATATCACTTTTATCTGTTGGTAACATCGACAGAAATTTAGCAAAATCCACAGCACATTCTGACATCAACGTGAACATCATTTTCATTTTGCTGGATGTAAAAGATGGACTCAACAGAGTTCTCACGTTCCGCCATTTTTCTCCGCGAAGGGAAAACAAATTTTTCGCAAGTAAAGGCTCATTCAATTCGTTAAAACCACGTCGATCTGGAAATGCGTCGAAATTCTTAACAAGAATAGTCTTAATGAGTTCTGGATCGCGAAGCAAGAAGATTGGATTTGTCGTGACGTAGACTCCAAAATACTTTGCGTTTGGATTGAAATTGTATATCTTCAAGATAAAATCGAAGAATGACATTCGTCTAAATATAACCGATGTCATAGATCCGAATATTGGAACAGGCGGTACGTGTATCACACCATTTCTTTTAAAGAAATTAAAATTTTTAAAAAGATAATAAATGCTGATCACACCAATCACTATTGATAACAATATAGACCAATATTCCATGGCGAACTCATTTGAAAAGTTCTTTATGATTTTTGTAGATGTTTGGTAAAATTTGACAGACTAAAGCTAGTGATACTGTCAACGCGAATCGTTACAGACTACTGTTCATTTTGCAGTTTTTATCTCGTAATATACCAGTAATCTTTCTTGGAATTCTGATGCAAAAGTTTTCAAGCTGACATTATATAAGATCGATTATCGTTACTGTACTTTGTTGGATGCAAAATAATAAATCTTGGATAATTTTCTAAATTTACTGATAACATTTATGTAATATGCAATATTATAATAACATCTAAATAAATAGCTATTTATTATGTATGCTAAACATTTGCGTGTGTGTATGTGTGTGTAAAAATATAGAAATATGAAATTAAACGATTATGTAATCCATAAAAGATAAGTAAAAAGAAAAACTCATGTGTTCTTATATTCAATTTACAATTCAAAATAATACTAATGTGTATGTGTGTGTGTGTGTGTGTGTGTGTGTGTGTGTGTGTGGCGCGCGTGCGTGCGTGCGTGCGTGAGTGTGTGCGTGCGCGTGCGTACATTTTTACACTTAATGTTATTATTATCGTATTATTTCTAAATGATATATAAAAAAAAAATATATATATATCGGGTTATTTTATGTTACACACACATTATATATAAAATTTTATTAAAAGATAAGTTTATAAGAAAACAAAGTTTCAAAAAAACAATTAAATCTTATATCTTATAAGGTGGTGCTATATATACGACTTTATTATTTTATTTTATATTTCTTATTGGTATGATTATCTGTTGTACATTTATTTTTTATTACTGCTTGATATAAAATGAGTACCATCAATAAAGTTATCATAGTGCTTACGTAACAAGTCTACGTAGCATGCAATTTATGAATCTGTCATGCAACTATGTAGATGCAGGGTTTGGTTTAATATTAAAAAATTATTATTCCTATATTTAATGTCAATACAAATATTTCTTCGTTGACTTTATCGGTACTCAAATAATAAATTATGTAGAATGATTGTTTCTTAGGAATTTTTCTTAGGACATATATGGAATCAGAAAAGTCATATAGAAAATCTAATGAAATTCACGTAGATATGTTATGTATTATGTATTGAAAAGTATGAGTCAATTGTAAACAGTTACCAGCAGACTACGTAACAGCATGTGTTAATAAAATGCACATAATACCTTTTTTATTAAAAATTGTTAGTAAATATTTATATTATATATATATACATAAATATTTATATTATATATATATACATAAATATTTATATTATAATTTTATTAAAAAATGATAGTAAATATTTATATTGTAGATTATTATCAATGATTTTTACTAATTTTTGTAGTGACAATCTCAATTTTACAACTCTATGATGTCCACTTTTCTCTACCCACATCTTTGATTCTATCATGAGTAAAATCATTTTGACCTTGATTTCCATTATATCATGTAAATGAGAGTATATTATTCCGACCATCATTCAATTAACTCGATTGTTTGATAAGTATTGCTCTCAATGAGCAAAGTTAAAAACAAGGTTATTATATGCTGAAGTGCACAAAGATCTTAAGCATAGTTTTATAATTTAATTTTTGTATTATTATTAAAATATATTATAGTGATTTATATTAATTTTGTAACATTGAAAATGACCCGATCGGAGTCGAAACGTATGATATTTTGTTTATTATTTTAATTTTAAAGTGGTTTATCATATTGCTGGCTCTTTGACCTTATTAATTTTTATTATATTTATATTATTTTATAATTTATATATGTACAATGGCGTACAAAAGTTTCCGGCCAGTGATATTTTGTACTCTAATTTATAGAAAAAAAGCCTAATCAAATTTTAATCATTATTAGGTATTGGTACAAGATATTAGTAACGAAATAATATAGTGAAAGAATATTGTTTATATTCATGAATATTTTTATTATTATAATTGTCATATTGCATGTGCAAAAGTTTCCGGCCACTTAATATACAGGGTGTCTCAGATTACCCGTCCACCTTTTTTATCTCCGCAGGATAAGATACAATCAAAAATATGTTCAGACCAAAGTGTGATATTTTAAAATGTCTATTTATTGATCATATCAGTTTGACCTTGGGTGGCTTTGCCAAAGTCAGATCAAGGTCACATCGATTTTTTTTTATAATAACATAAACAATATACTTTCACTACATTATTTCGTTACCAATACCTAATAATGATTAAAATTTTATCAAGTTTTTTTTCTATAAATTAGAGTATAAAATGTCACTGGCTGGAAACTTTTGTACGCCACATTTGAAAATCTATAAAAAAAAGATATTACAATTTATTTATAATCAAGTATACATATACATATATTGAATAATCACAAGAAACATTTCTTTTAATTAAAATGTAATTACGTTTCAAAATATAATTAAACATGTAATAAATATTAGTTATTTTATAAAATGATTTCGATAAAATTTTTTCAAGAATATTAAGGTGTACCTTATACAATGATTTTTAATGATTTATGAAATGAAAGACATATAAGAAAAAATAAATAATAACAATAATAACAATAATGTTTATTTTGTGTATTTTGGTAACATAAAATTGATTTTGAAATTGTAATTAATAATAATTATTATTCTTCCACTTTGATGATCCGTTTCTTATACATGAATCGTGTTCTTGTGTGTGTGTGTGTGTGTGTGTAAGCGCGTGAATATAAAAAAGAAACTAAAAATATTGTTATATGTAATAATCGCATTCTCTATAACTATACATCTACTTATTAAATACATATTTTAACGTTTAAATTTATCTCGTTTTATATATAGCTGTAAAATATAATTATTAATAATATCAATAACTTTTAATGTTTAAATGAAAAATAATGTTGTATCTCTTTTATTATACATATTTCTACTATATATACTATACAATGCAATATATATTTATCGCACTGTCTTTACGCAATTTTTTAATGCGTTGTCCTAACAATATTCTTCCGTATTCTAATAATTATATACAATGTTTTCTATGAAATTTCATCGCAATAATTCGTATCATATTTAAAATAATTTAAATTCATTCTCTCTCTCTGATATAGAAATTTATACATTTAAAAATTAATTCATAAAAAATTTCATAACATCAATTATTTATTGACGATACTAAACAATATAAATGATAAATAATAGATTAAGAATTAATATTACATTTAATTTTCATGAAATATTATAATGATAAAAAAGAAATAAAATTACCAGCAGATGGAAACATATTATTGCTTTACAATAGATTCGATTATTTTAACGAGAACTTTATTTAAAATAAAACTCTTTATGCGCGCGTATCCAAATCAGTTTGAGCATTATTTCTCTCAGTTAAATGATATTGCGTCGAATTTATATCTATAAATACAAATTTATTCGTAATATATAAATTTTTTTGAATTCAAATATGGCCATTAGACGCACTACCATTAACAATGTTAGGTGATATACTAGTATTGCCTCTCGCTTGAATCTTTAACCAGAATCCTCCTTCTGCTAACATAGCGAAATTTTTCTTGCTCAACTGCAATGGATGCGAAGTTTTTGCGCACATTTTCAATTCGCAACGAAGTAATAAATGGAATAACATGACTTTGGACTCCAATAACGCAAACCTGTTGCCTATGCACATTCTTGGTCCAAGTCCAAATGGAACATAAGCGATTGAATTTATATCTTTCTTGTTTTCATCCAGAAAGCGTTCGGGACAAAACTCGTCCGGTTTTTCGAAATATTTTGGATCACGATGTAGACCGTAAACAGGGAACCAAACGTTCATTCCTTTTTTTAAAAGAAAAGGTTTGTCTCCAGGCAGTGCTGGAGGTAACTCAAAATCTTCCACACTTATTCTGTCCAGAAAAGGAGCTATGGGCCATATCCTAAGAGTCTCATTGATCACCGCATCCAAGTACTGCATTCCATTTAGTACTTCATAGGTTAAATTTCCGTTGGATGTCTTGAAAGCCTCATCTACTTCGTCGCGTAGTTTCACCTGTACGTCTGGATTCACGGCAATTTCATGAACAGCGAAGCACATCAAGGAAGAGACAGTATCAAAACCGCCAAAAAAGAAAAGAAACGCCTGTGCGGTCATATCCTCGATAGTCAGTTCCTTTCCAGGTCCTCTTTTTCCTCTGGTCTCCATCATTAATTGCAGCATATCTGGTCGTACGATATTTTTGGTGTCTCTGGTGTGTATCGTGTTCCTTACGAGATCTTTAAAAAATTCACTTACGCGATTGCTGACAAATCTAATACCCAATATTCTGGCGATCAATGGCATACTTCTACTTAAGTAAAATTTTATGGTGCGCAGAGTGTTGAAAGTCGTAGCTTCTTTTCCATAAACATAGAATTCGTTGTTAGGATTCCTCATAGAATCAACGCTGACACCAAACGCACAAGTTGCAATTACATCATTTGTGTACCTAGTAAAGCAATCCTTCATTTCTATAGTATTTTTGTCCGCAGGTAACTTAACAAGATAGTCAGTAAAATTGGCAGCACATTCGGACATCAATTTGAACATGGTTTTCATTTTACTAGAAGTAAAAGCCGGACTTAGTAAAGTCCTCACATCTCGCCACCTTTCACCACGAAGCGAAAATAAATTCTTGCCAAACAGAGGATCGCTAACTTCGTCGATGAAACCACGATGATCGGGGAATGTTTCGAAATTTTTAATGCCGATGGTTTTGATGAGATTAGGATCACGAATCATCACAATTGGATTCATTCCGTCAAAAAAACCGACATATTTGGCGTTTTTATTTACATAGTAGGCTTTTTGAATATTTTCAGCCATCGATAACTGACGGAAAAAAACTGGTCCCATATTACCCACAACAGGTAATGGTGGTATATGTATAATTCCATATCTCTTAAAAAATTTTAAGTTTTTAAAGAAGTAATAATAAATAGCGGTGGCACTTGTTAAGAGAAACAACAATATCCAAGTGTCCATGATGATTGTAAGACGTTTCAATACAACATGCTAATGCTATCTCGATGTTGCTAGATCACGAGTACACCAATGACTGTTGCGGTTGAGAGATTACTTCCCTTTATATAACCAATGCAATTCGATTGCTTTACGTAAGGTGACATGTGATTAAACTTTTGTGGCGGATGGAAAGCGAAAGTGGGAATAACTATACTGATATCGCGTAACTTAAATAATCTCTAATCGTATCACGTGTAGTAATATATCTTTCCTTGTATAACAATTAAACTGCTGCAATAATAGTAGTGACATACAAGACAAGTAAGAAAATAATCGAAAAAAACATACTTATGAGTATATAAACTCGTTAATTTTTAGTTAATGTTTATAGTAGTTTTGCAAAATACTCATTACTTATGATTTAATAAATTATAATTTTAATGATTCACACAATTCAATAAACAATTTGTCAAAATATTTATTTTTAGAACCAAGAAATATGAATCCGAGGATCAGGCAATAGAGAGTCAGACGTGGTTCTTTGGTGTACGTAATTAATAATTTATTCTTTAAAAATCTTGAAAAATAATGAACGTTTCGACTCTATTTTGGAGTCATCTTAAGCATAACTAATCTCTTCACTTAAACATAACTAATCTCCTCCGAATTTATTTTTAGTATTGTTCAGTAAATTGCTGTATTTTCATGCAAATATAACATGACAGAAAATTATCAAATATGATAAATTGTTGCTTACATAAAATTATTTATAAAATCTTTATAGATTTCGTATATTTTAAATATCGTTTAATTACGTGTCTGTCTTTTTTTTTTAATTAAATGTTTACAGATTACAATATCTAGAATAATTATATATTTCAAATGACTTTTCTTTTTAATTCGACAATCTAATATTAAAAGTAGATCTCGTGGCTTTTTAGTCTTATTCTCGGATGTATTTGCTTTGTCGGTGTCATCTCTTTTCCCAAGTCCGATCTATACTAGATTGCCGGGTAATACCGCAGGTTATTTGGCTTTCTCTCTTAAACACCGTAGAACATCGCCTTGGATCCAGGATATTGCGAACGATGGGATCACCGTACGGAAACAAAGCCAGGCACTTAGCGGCAAATTAGCGATGGCTAGGGGCGCCACTGTCGCTCTTCATTACACCGATACCCTCCTACCTTCTACCTCCTAAACCCCTCCTATGACATCCCCTAACTCGGTCTAACCCTCTTAACCTCGTCCAGACAATGCACGCGCCATTCGTTCTTTACGTATATCGGCAAACGAAATGTCTATCGTATGTAAAAATTCTTTAAAATATAATAGTTTTATTTCTTCCCATTTGTTCTTATGTTACTATCGCTTGGTATACGTTATGTCTATATACGCTTCGTATACGTTGTAGCTTAGGACTGATGAATCATCATATTTATATTACATTGTTATTATTGTATACACAATTTATTCCTGATTCAACATTTTTAGACACTGCATACATATAATTCGCAAATTAAAAGTCGACAAAAAAAAATACTAGAAACGCTTGTAGAAATTTAAAAATCTACTTCAATTCTTCGAAATAACTTTGTGTTATCTTGCTGGAATTTTATATAATTATTTCAAATAATTAACTAAATTAAAATGATTAAGCGTAGAGAGTTTTTGCGATCACAAATAGTTTTTCGAATAAATAGCATTAAATCCTGATAAATTCTTATAATCATAGACTATTTCAGTTGGCAATGTAAAACGCATGTAAATTGAATTAAACATTTACCAATGACTATAGTGACATGTAAAAAATTTAATTTAACCATGTAAATACGAAAGAAAGCTTGACATAAATTTTTAACATTGGTGTCTAATGTAAAAACCATTAAGAATCTTGAAGTCAAGATTATAAAGAATATTTATAAGTGTCCCGGAAATTAAAAAATTTCATCTCGAGCGCTTTGTCGATGAATACTTTTAAGGGTATCAAATTGTAGAAATGAAACCTCAGCAACGCGAAGCACGATGGATACGTTCCTGGGGAGAATACGAGAACGTGCCGAACGAAAGTACGACGGGTGGCGAGACGGAGAGAACAGAAAGAGCGGACCGGAGGATGTGGGGCTCGTGTAACAGAGTCCATTGTTGAAGCTTATTGAGAATCTGCCAATAGCCCGGGATTCAATTTGACTGGTGAACCATGAACACCATTTAATATACAAGCGCGCGCGCGAAGCGCCTCACCGCGCGAACTTCTGCAACGCAACAAGCACATGAAACACCTCCAAGCATGATGCCATTCAAGAAAAAAGAAAAACGGAACTTTCGGGATATTCGGTATTAGCGAAGTTATCGTCGAGTCTTTTTGGTTCGCGCAATCCTATCCGATATCCTGCTACCAATCCAAATGGATTTCGAATTCTTCCTCCTTACATTCTTGTCTTTTTTTTCGTATTTTATTCTGTCACTTTTCTCTTCATAAATATTTCATAAATAAAAAGAAACATACAATTATATATGATAGTAAATAGTAATAGTTAATGATAAACTTTTTGTGTATATATCTAGTTATTTTCACTAACTCGTATCGTTATCATTTTAACGGTTTATATAATTTCCTTGCTGCATTCCATGTTTTTCGTATCATTGATCAAGAATTCCATTGGTGTTGATAGTTCTGTCCTATGATATACAGAGTAAAGACTTTTATAGAAAAAGACTTGCATCGGCTATAGCAAACATATTTGATGCGTCATGATTATTATGACTCGAATGAATGAGAGATTAAACCGAAAGAGGAAAGTGAACGGGAGGCCGATGCTCTTAAGTGGTTCTTATGCCGTATTTCCCGGAGGAATATTTCGTTTTGGCTCAGACAGAAATAATGACTAGCGTCGTAACAGAACGCGCTTCGGGCGAAATAGACACCACTTCGTCTTTCCAGTTGGACTTTTAATTTCCTAATGGGCTAATTATTGGTGTGTCCGAGGGAGTAGCTTGTCGCTATGATTGCAGCGTAATCAGCTTAAGAATAAAATATTCGGAAGTCAATGATTTCGAGAACATATGTTTTTTATTGCAATCTGTATTAGGAATTACAGATTATCTTTGATATAATAATAGGAATATAGCTCGAGAGAGAGAGAGAGAGAGAGAGAGAGAGAGAGAGAGAGAGAGAGAAAGAGAGAGAAATGTATGTGCGTGAATAAATCCATCATACACACCAATGAATAATCGACTTGAATCAGTAATTTCGGCCGTTTGATGTATCAATTATTATATCATATTAGCCTGAATATTTACATAATGTACATGCACATTATCCACATTGTTATTTCTTCTTACAATTAGTAGTTACATATAAAGATGCTGTAAAAGCACTGTTGAGCTTATGCTTCGATCAATACATGCAACGATAAAGTATTAGCATTTCGTATAACAAATAAAATTGAAAAATTAATAAGATTTCAATAGAAAACAATCTGCAAATTTGTAAAAAGTATTATTACAATTTGTTAATATTATTATTAATGCTGCAGATGTCTATTACATTTGCATATAAAAAGTCATTCGCGGATAATTTATCTCTTGACTTCCTGCACATTCATTAATAAATGTTACGTAAATAACGACATAGGCATTTTAAGACACATCATAATGACGCGCGAGGCATACAAGCTGATTTATTATCTATGATTTATCTATAAACGCACAACACAATTTGTAGATAAGGACTGAGGAATACGGTGACGATGATGGTGGGAAAGATCGTTGCAGAATGCGCAAAGTTTTCCCAATTGAAGGCAATGAATTCGAGGGTAATCTTTTAAAGGCAGAGTCTGGACTCTCGCGATCCAACGGAGAGTTAATGGGGTCGCGCGGGCCGGCAGACAAGGTTGCTCCGGGCAGAGCCGGGAGTTGGAAGACTGAGACTGGCTCTGCAGGAATCTGCATAACAAAACGCGCAATTAATAAAGTTCTGCGGTGTAGAGGGCACCGACAAAAGAGCGTTTCGTCCTTTCAAGCTCGCTCCTGCAACCTTCCTCTTCCGCCTGTTCGCCTTCTCCTCCTCCTCCTCCTCCTCTTCCTCGTCCTCTCGGAGTACCGGCGTACTCCGGTGCAAACCAAGTCAAAGAGGCGGCGAACCGGGGGGGGAGGGAGGGAGGGGGGGGGAAGGGGTGGTATAGAGAGGTGGCGCCCATCATGGGCCTGGGGCTAAATAAGTCAGGCTTTGTAAGGAATCCTCGGCGAAACTTCGCAATCTTCGCTGTGCGCGAAACTGCGATCGACGGCAAACGCCAGCGTACTTTCCATCGTCGCGTCGCCTCAAGTCGCTAGAACTTTGGCCGCCAGCGGCAATTGTTATAACATTTAGACAATAGCTAAAAAAACAGATGGATACTGTACAAGTAGATCATCATCGACACATAGTGCAACATAAATACCTCTATTAGTAGTATGGCTATATAGTACAAACATTTTAATAAGATTCTAAATTGTCTAATGCAAACTTTTTTCATACAGATCTTGCCTGTAAGTGGTGGTACGTCTTCAAAGATTACTTCCAATCGATGCGATACGCTGCAACGCGATGCGATTTTAACCACACACACGCAAGCTTTCAGCGGATCCCGTTTCGTCGTTGCGCGGCTCGATATCCGAAAGTTTTCGCGCGCAAAATGCGGACCGCATTATTTATCAAACGGAGTAGGTAGTCGGCCGTGGTTTTAACGGCGGCTTCGACCCTCTCTCTGTCGTGCCCTCCAGGGTAAACAGTTTTCAGACCTCAGCATGAAGAGTCTAGCTGCTTAATATTTCAGACGACCCGTAGCTAACTTCATGCATACTTATGTCGCGGCTCTTCGCGTGAGATAACCCGCGTGCGATATTCTCTACAACGTATTCGGATAGACAGCTGCTCCATTATTTATTGTTCTTTGTTGCGCTTTGCCATTGCTAACATATGTGTAATCCGTTATGATTCATATACTTCTTCTTAATGACTTTGCAAATATGTCCTTCTAATGGCGAGGTACTTCTTTCCTGGTTGATTTATAAATTTAATATATTGTGTATATAT